TTTTTCCACTGTAAAATGCCTTTAGCCATGCGAGTAATGATAAGGAGGCGGAATTGATGTAGCAAGTCGTCGCTGTGCCTTCTCACCTCCGATATTGCCGGGATAGCTGTTCTCCCGGCGCGATAATGGTCTCTCGAATGTGTTGGCTATCCAGAGTCTTGTCAAGTAGGGCTAAACGCGTGACAAACTCGTAAATCTGTTCCCCAAAATGTCGATTATTTTGTAAAACAAAGTATAAAAATGTCAATTTTCAAATCATCATCTAAGCTCATGACGTTTAAGCGTATCTTTGAAGATAGTTGAAATCGATATTTCTTGTTTATTTTCTGTAATTAGATTTGAATTAAGTGGTGAAGTGTTTTATATTGCGTCGTCTCTGAACCTAGTCGGTATAAGGGTGTCTGTTGTCATCAAGTGATTTGGGAATTATAAAAAAAAAATGTTGACAAACTTGTGTTATGTTTACAATAATGGTTTTCTACAAGGTTGCACTATACCATTACTGTACGGTTGTTACTACAACGATGTTTGGTTTATGTAATAATGGTGTTTCACCCCCGTCATCATATATGGCTGTTAAATCAGGGATCATGGATTATCTCTCTCTCTCTCTTCGACGCTGATATGACTTTTATGACTCTGAGTAATCACACCCTGAATCTTGAACATGTATTATACTTAATTAAAACACGGAATATTGTGTGGTATGTGCGTGCGTACCATAGTTATGTGATATATTTATGGTTTTATGTCGTACCATGTACATGTAACGTTAATATGTGTGTTATATATATATCAGGGGTTATTGCATTTGGGATCCGCTAAATGTGACTTTGGGAATGATATTGTCAGTGTTTATCGGTAACTACGCCAGTGGATGTAAAAATATATTTTAATATAATACAGATTAGCTGTCATCTGTAACCGGTGCACATTCAGCGGTTTTCTTCCGTGTCTTCTATAAAGAGGGCATGGGAGAGACCAGCATGGATCTGCTGCCCTCATTGCAACACTATTATTGTAATTCCCGTCTTCTTTATTGGTTTATCTACTTTTTGTTTCGGACGTTGTCTCACTAGGTATTTTTCCTTATACATTGTATGAACAAACATCTGTCATATGGAGTGTGTAACACTGGCATGGTTTACAACAGTTTATCACATGTGTGACGTATAAAATCGGGCTAATATTCCAGAGATTATTGGTATCCGCTGATTGTGACGTTTAAACAAATTATAGTTAAGGTTTCTCGGTTATCAGGTCATCTACATATAAAAACGTTTTTTGATAAAACAAAAAATTATTTTGATCTGAACGAAGTGTTTGTAATTTGTGCGTAAGCAATATTAGTATAGTTTGAAACAACAATTTTCGGTGATCGCTACATGTAGATTTAATACATTGGTAATATATCAAGGGAGTTTGGTGTTCGCTACATGTGACGTTGAAATGGGTCATAATAAACGTTCACCTATGTGGGGGACACAATGGGTTAGTCCTTAAAATGGTAGCTGTTATGTCCCTATCAACGTTCAGCATCCAGGTAATCGTAGCAACTGGTTTACCCGTTGTCAGTCCAATAATGTTGCCGGGTAGAATACCGTGATTGGTGCTTTCGGCATGGTATTTCAGTGAGGTAGCACTCGTTTGTCAGCATCGGATCCATGTTATCACAAGGAAGCTGATACACCAACATATCTCTAGTACTCATACACATATTCACGTATGAATAGCACATATGGAGGCACGTCCTTAAATGACCTAACTGTACGTTGAAAATTAAACCTAATTGAACCAAACCAATCCTTTTTCTTAGTAATCATCCCATTTAAACAACGAATAATTAGAAACTTTCGTAATGCTGCCACAATTTTTCAAGGGATAGTTTAACACGTGAAGACGTTTGGAGACAAATCGAAGAATATGAATAAGTACATGCAAATTGTGACGAAGAATCGACGGAAAAAAGGAACTTGAAAAAGGTTTGTGGTAAGCATCATGGCTAATGAAACGAGGGGCATTATACCAAGGTTTTAACGGATGTCCGCCTCTAATATTAAACGAGGATGCAAATGAAACCAAGGGGCATGTATCAAAGCCAAGTGTTAAATTGTTAAAATGTCGAAAGAACAACCTTCGAATGTTTTTGTGAGAGGCATCCAATGTGCGTTTTGAGCGGATTATTTCCTCCCTGTAGTTCTGATTTGGTGATATAAAAAAGCCAAATGTTATCTTCTTCCCCTATTACAACAACTTGGATCTGTATCTTGTTGTTTCCTTCCTATTTATTCTTCTTGTCGTGTATATCTCCCTAGGTACCAGTCTTCGTATACTCTTAGCTGTCGTGAATATGTAACCCTTAACAAATCTGTATTAGAAATATCTGGGCGACGTTTGTTTATGGTTTATAATAACAGTATCCGTTTATTACATCATGTAACCGTATTATAAGGTTTAAGTTTCATCGGCTATTGGTAATCACATGTGTTTTATATAACAGGTGGTTTTGTGACTACTCCATGACGTTATATATACAGCGTCCTGAGGAATTATAACATTTCTTTCTGTAGCTTTATATAGCTAACATATATGGATTCTGTAAAATCCTGTTGTCTCGTTATAGTAGGTATCTTGTATAAAATATACAGTAACATATCCATACAATACGCCTTATTTCGTGTCCATTTACCAAACCACCAACACATATGACATGCTGTTAATGTCAATCTACGTTTTCTTCGATTCAACGCTAATCTCCTTTATAACGCCAATATCGAGCTAGACAAAAAGTGGAAATATCGCGAATTGTATTGTTATAAGGATTCTCATCAATCGCATTCTTTGACACAACATATGTTTTCAGACCTAATGTGATTTGCTAACATTCATTATATGGATTCTAGGTAGTCTCGCCCTATGACGTTGCAGCATATTTTTTTATAATAAAACATTCTGATAATCTAGCCGTTGTGACGCTGATATGATTTCAGTCGTTTTATCATGGCATATATTTTGTACTTATCTATTGCAGACGACATTCATGTCATCACATCATTGCACCTATTTCAACCGGAAGAGGAATATGTATATAGGGTTTTGTTTTTTCGGATTTTGTTTTTTTAGATATCAGACAATATAAAATAAATTGAGTCATTCATTCTCACGCTTTTTCGCGTTAAACTGCACCAACCGCAGCGGAGAACTATACATCAAATCTCAAATGGTCGGACAAAGAGACAAAAGATACTCAAACGAACTTAATAGCCTTAATCTCTTTGTTTTCTTCCGAAATTTTATGTCATTATGAATTAATAAAAGTCGTATCGTTTATTAAACTGCCCATAATGAGCCCGGCCTCTAGTCCATTACGTCATCACGGAAAGGATATGGATGTCATTGTTAGCGTAACTACTTCCATTCGCCATACATCACGTATATGTATGATACGAACTGAATATTCATTTGATGGTCCTAATCCGTTACAGATTTGGACATGTTGGTTCTATTTTGACTGGAAAGTGACCAATTTAATTGAAAAATTTGAATCAATTATTTTTCATCTTTGTAATACACAAAATATAATAATAACACTGATTGTATCCTAACCACATGTAGACGTTTAAAGTCGAAGCAACATAATGGCTGTTTGCTGGTGTTTTTCCATACCTGGTAGGTCAGGACTGTGTTCTTAATATCAAATATCAAACCTCAAAACAACCTAAACCAGAAGAAATCCGCATACATGAAAACATGGCAGTGTCCTTAACACACATTTAACGTTCCATTTGACGGATCACTATTAAAATCAATAGGATTCTTCTTTTCCCTTGAGGTACTTTTAACAAAGGTTATCCACCGTATATTTCCTTCCAGATAATTTCTATACAAGCACTTGATATCTTGTTTATCGTATTGTAGTAGGCCTCTATGGTATCGCTCGTTTATTATACGATTTTAAGCTCATTCACCCCTGAAGACAGATTTGAACTCTTCTAATTCAATGGTTAGAATAGTTTATCATAAAATTTCAGGTTTGAATGAATTAAATACTTATACGACAGCTACTGATATCATTACGCTGATATTTAGTGAAAAAGCAGGTATGTTTGTTAAAAAGCCAAGATTGTGATTTGTGTTTTAAAATTTGTATTTTTGTCTGTAAGAATAGATATGAAAAGTATAATGTGACATGTTATTTTGAGGAAAAAAAACAATCCCTTAGTCCAGAGTTCAACGCGATAACATAGAAAGTGGAGATTCTAGCTACATTTCATTTCTCACATTCGTCATTAAAGCTCTTGCTTCTTTCTCAAAAGAAATTGACAATTACGACTGGCTTTAAATTTCAAGGTATCCGATTTAACGTTAAGTGTCCTTAGAGCTGGTTATAAAAGTAATACACAAAGTTTTAGCGTTTAATGGAAATGCAGAATTTAAATTAATTATTTAACTGATTTATAATCAATTCACACGTTCACTCTAACTGAAATTAGAAATAAAATCTACGAAATGTTTTGAATTGTTAGTTTTTAATTATTCGGAGTTAGTTTTTATTTTGTTAGGAAAAGCATTTCATTGGACACAAAGGAGAGTTAATGATAAAGCATTTTTGTATCTAATACATAAACCATTTTGTTAACTCACTACATGTTATAGTTTGTTATAGACATGATAAAGTAGCATTTATCTTAAATAGATAGTTCTCAGAAAGTAGACCTTTGTAAAGAAAGAATAATCGGTAATATTGATCAATATTTTTTAAATTGTTCCGTTGCTAATCCGTCTAAACATCAGAGACTCGAAAAGAAACTAAAAGCAACAATCTATATTAACGGGATATCTGCACAATACCATTACATAGACGCCGATTCTAATCCAAACTCATTTTCAAAGTCAAGTAGACGTTTTATATTGTTATCTCCTAGCTTACCGACGGAAACTACTTCATTCATCATGGACATTCTTTGATTATCATGTCCTTTTTTTCTTTTCTTTTATAGGTCCCACAAGATGGGGCGTTACCGGTCCCTACCGGATGTGCTCCTGGGGCAAACAACAGTCTCCAATAGATATACACCCGGATATACTCCTGTTCGACCCGAATCTCAAGCATGTCAAGGTGGAGGGCTCTCATGTGAGTAGACTTTGTCGCCTTCCGGTCCATTAACATATCACTGTGTGTCGCCTTACGAACGATCCATTTTGATAATTGATTGAATGCATACACGAACAATTGATTCCCCCCGCTATATCTTAAGGTATTGTATTTCCTGTTTACAATGGAACCCTGTAAGTCCGGAGTCAAATAGTCTGGAACTCTCGTTTTCTGGACAATTGTTTTCAGGGACGAACAATTTTTGTTTCATTGATCAGAATTATCTTGACTTCATCGTTTTCCCCTAGGGAATCGATAAAAATAGTATTTACCTGATATAACGTCAAACTCCCAAATACGTGATTATATATATATATATATACAGAAAGTAATTACAGCTCATACATCTAGGGATGCTAAAATGTGAACATACTACATTTGTAAGTTACGATGTATCAATAGTTATAACAGATATGTAAACAAGAACAATCAAAGGCGAATTAAATTGCTGTTTATTCCTTATATTTCCTATAACGAAATGAGGGTATTAAATTCACGTACATCATTATCCTATTTTTGAAATTTNAGGGGGGGGGGGGGGGGGGGGGGGGGACTTACTTTTGAACATCATACATGTATAGTAGCCAACAGGGTATGTCCATGTACAAATACGTAAAGCTTTTTCTCATTGATTTAAAGATCTTTATATATGTGCGGATTTCTTAGAATAAGCGTATAGTGTTCTTGTGAGATGTCACTTCCATCGAATGCACGCTATCTTTGCCAGGCTTGGCCCGTTTACTTTTTTGTCTGTGATAACGTTGCTCTTACTTTTAAAAAATGTCACTTCTAAAGATGTGTCTTTGCTTCTATATTCATACAACACAATCCCTATTAACAGGGAAGTTATGATATATAGCTTGATTACACCTAATTCATATGATCGGTGATAACATACAGCAAAAAGTTAATGCGTTGGTACTATGTCTTTAGAACAAACAAAAAAGTATGTTGAAGTACGTCAGAAGACAACACATACCCTATACCATTTAACTTGTCTAGGAATGTGACACAAGCGATGTGATAAAACCCTAATTATCCTACGTTTATCAATATTCCCTATCCAATGAGTAATGTACATGCCTTAACTACAATATACTTCCGGTGTGTGAAAAACACCCAGAACTTAATATGCTATCCACTTTGTATTTCATTTAACGTGTAAATGACAAACTGAGAATAAAATGGTATTTGCATCATAGAAAAGAACACAATTTTCTGTTTCGCCTGCCTTAACTTATTTCTTATTGACAGCCTTCGGAAAGGTCATAATTACGTGGTGTGATCTTTGGTAATATATAGGAGTATTAAGTGACTACAAATATCACAAGCCAAATACAATGTAATGGACAACTTCTGATTCTTTAACAAACGACTATTCCAATAACAAAAAACGACGCATATCATCAATGCCGGTTTTCCTCCCACTGTAACGATCGTATTTTAATAGAAATAGCTATAAATGTCATTGTAATGAATTTTATTTGAATTGCCGAATTATTTCAATTCTTGAAGGACTTCATTTACAAAGATGTAATGAATCAGCAGCCCTAACTCTAGAAACCTTTACATTCTGAGTATCACAAAACGGGAAAAAAAGTCAAGATTTACGCAGACCAAGCTTAACGAAAGAATAATCCCTGCTGAGAACTATGTGAAGAATCCGAAAATAACAAATATCGTTATTTTCACAAGAAAAATCGAACAAATGAAAATAAAAATAATCAATTAATTCGCTAATAAAATACCCGTTTAACATTTTGTTTGTTCTCGTCAGATCACAAATAATCTTTTCCTGTGAGATAAAGACGTAATTTATAACTATCTAGAACGGTTATTTGTCATCCGGGTATTGGAATCTAATCATCAAGAGACATCTGCGCATGATCATTAATTTTACGACCGGAAGTGTTGTAACAAACTCTAGGCCATCAGCTTAAAAAAATACAAATTGAAGATTTCCTTCTAGCTCACTCAAGACATTAATAGTAACAAGAACCGATGTCGCTATTATGCTTCAGTGAAATTTAACGAGGGCTAAGGGCTTCAAAATGATGTAGTTAAGATAGGACGTCAGACCCTCACGAAAAAAATCAGAGAAGAAATTCATGTTTGTAAATTAACTTAATTTATCGTCTCTGTCGTTTTTACCTGAAAACGGTAATACTACAGTGTAATTATACGTTATTTCAAAGTCATTTTGACAACAAATCACACAGAGGAAATTTTATTTTCTTTAAAAGAATATTTAGTTATTTTGATATATAAGTGAGCCCTAAACGGGACGCTTGTGGAAATATGGTCCAAGAATTTGGCATGCAATGCAAAGAAGCGTTTTTTTTCTTTTTAATAAATGCAGCTTTCTAAAATGATGCTATTACGTCAATTAAACGGTTTATTGGCTTTTACTATGGTTACACGGGCACTTTAAGTTTGTACATAATCACAAAAAAACATAACATTCTAAATTATACTGCCATACCAGGCTTTTCATGTGAATGACAATTTTTCTCAAAACTTATGCTTATTTGTTAAAGACATGAAATACTCCTTTGATTTATAATGTTTGAAATTCGATTTTCTGCTTATAGTGAATAACAAATACTGAAATCATAAGTTTGTTGTTATGAATGGAGTTGACTTTAAGCAAGCTTGCTAGGTATATTATTGTGCATGAAGGAACAATTGATGGCGCCAAAAAAATGATTTGATAATAAACATAACGAATTTATAGTTTTGTATCGTTTCTTTCTAATATTTTTCTTATCGTTATTTAGACAAATACAATATGAACTGTGCAAATAGTTTCATCACTTAACATTTAGGAAAAGAAATAACTAATGTGGAGAAAACCTCGCTTTATAACAAAGCATATATTTTTGATAACACAAAAAAGATTACTGGATTGTTTCTCTTATGTATAATGGACAATACGTTCTATGGCGCCTTTAAAGAAAAAACATGCCTCGATATGAATGTTACTTGTCAGGTCACCCTTGGTTATTTGGAGTCATATTATGTAATGCGTTGTTTGATGCTGAAATAAATATATTTTAAAATAGACTGTTACATAGTAAGGCAAAATTGACATTTAGCAGGTTTTAGGTATTTTTACAAATAAAAGTACCTGCTTTTCAAATTTAAGATAATGTATTATTTTTCCCCGGACGAACCGATGTAAGTATTGGCGAAAAGCGGTTGAACATATCGTTCACAATCTCAGAAATCGGAAACAAACTTAACGTTTGTAGACAATAGACATAATGCTTGATCAGCCCTGTGTAAGACACATGCTTTATTCATTTTCTGTTCATTACGGAATCAAATCAATTCTCATTTCATTATGTTCCAGGTGAATGGAAAACTGCTGAACACCGGAAATGACATCACGTTTTTACTTGACAGTTCTTTCCCAACTCACGTGAATGTCAGTGAAGGGCCATTGTCATACGTGTATCACGTGACAGCCATCAAATTCCATTTCAGCAAAGTAGACTTTAACGGATCAGAGCACAGAATAGCTGGTCGGGCATTTCCGGCGGAAGTAAGTTTATAGTTTTATATCTTGTTTTCCGGTTGCTTCTTACATTGAATTAAAATGGCGTGCGTAGTTTCAGTAAACCTGGTCGAGTCTGAAAGGTTGTCAACGACGAACATTTTTAAAGCCCAATGCATTCCACGAACCATAATCTACTCACTCGCATATGCGGCTTGACTGAGCATTGTCAGCTTTTCAGTAATTCAATTCTTTTAGATAATACTTTTTTTATTTCAATATGACATATATGTTTTTAATCGGATGGTCATGTTGTTGGTTACCGTTATCAACATTATCCGGATATTTGTAAGTATGATTAGCAACTTGACATTGTAACATAAAATTGACCCTCATTTGATTGTTTTAAAATATTCAAATGTATTAAAACATAAAATGTTTCGATATGAATCATATTCTTATATTCAGTTTTGTTACATGTGAATAATGTGAATGATGAATTGAACAAAACAGACATAAATTAGATAAATTGCCAATTTCAGCTTTTGAATTGCCACGCTATCTAAGCTTTCTACATCCGTGCAGACCTGGGTATACTTTATGCGCTACACTCGAGTTATTAGGGATATATCTGGCAAACGACACTTTAAACTGTCAATGAAGTTTCTATTGCTGCCTAGACATATTTGTTGTTTAAATAAATTCTGTCTCGTACTTAAACTGTTTTCTTTGAGATGGACTAGACGAGACAGGAATATTGGCCAGAGCGGTTTGAAATTATTAGTTTTCAGTTGCAAAAGAGCAGGAGGTATAGATATTCAATTAATTGTTACAGGAGTACGACAAACTCAAGGGGGACCTTTTTACATTAAATAAGAGAGCAACCTGCTATCTAGTAGGTTTACGATCGGATCTGACCTGCTGACATGATGCAACTACTTTCCACTCCCCTTAAAATCCAAAATATCTTCAAACTACTTAATGAGATAATATAGATACCAATTGTTTTTTTACATTTTTCTCTCGTTTTTCTGATATAAAGTCGAGTCCGATCTTCCTAATGATGTTGATAAATACACAATTTATTAAATCATTAAAACAAATATTGATACATGTCGGAATTTGCCAATACGATTAAAATAGCAGTTTAAGCATGTTTACAGCTTTTCTCTGTCGAAACAGTTTCTGTTGAAACATTTGGTTTAAACTTTGTTTTATTCAAATTTTGTTTGACAATACATCGAAATACATGTTTTATAAAACAGAAAAGGAAACAAAAACAAGTGTCGTGACACTTATGTAAATTTGTTACCTGCTTAGTAATCAGCTTTTCAACACTAGCTACAAGAATGAAGTAATATGTACAATAGAATAATTACGGGAATAGGGGAGGGGGTAATGGATTTGTATGCAGTGGAAACCAGGAATGAATAACATATCAATATACATATGATCGTCAGATGGTAATATCATATGGCTCTATTGCAATGAGTATGTGGAACACGATTCTGTAAAATATAACTATGGAATAGTAGATGAAAATGTCAGCAGTCCTGTAAATGGACACTCGAAAAAGGTTAAAATGTATATACAAGTTACATAGAATAAATCACCACTAAATCAACTATTGACAAAATTAGTATGTCACAAAGCACCGCCATGATTATTAAAAACGTTGCAGTTCACATACTAGCCATCACAATTATCAAATCCGTAAGTCCGTAAAACACTTTCCCGCCTCGTCCCTGGTACGTCCTGCTCTTTCAAGGTAACACATCACTTTATCAAACAATCATAATCATGGCGAGTAAATGACATAATATGGTATAAAGGTATGCAATGGCAAAATCACTGAATAAGCATATAAATCCAAATACATTTTAACACATCGTAGTAAAACGAATGCAACACAACATACACATATATATATATGTCAAAATGAAATTGTTAAGGACTATTCGTTTATTTGAAATCTTTTAGTTTTGAGTATATAATTTTGGACGGCTAGAAAAAATCGTAGTGTTTTCTTGATGGGTTAGAGAGTCATTACCAAAGATTAAAAGATTAGTTGATAGTTGATACGGCAATCTCAGAATATGAAGCTGTCTAAGTGATGTATATTTATTACATTTTAGCAAATAATGTGTTGAGTTCTAAATGGCATCGCAGGAACAATTCGGTGATGGTATGATGTTTTTCGTAAACAAGTGTTCTTTTAGGGAGCTACATGACATACGCAGTCTTGCGTGGTAGATTTGACCCAGACGTGAACCCTGAAAGTAGTATGAAGGTGGGCATGATTTACTATTAGATTTCAGAAAGGCTTTTAAATGGGAAATGGAAGGGTTATTTCTAATATGTAATGGAAGAGAATTCCAATTGTCTACAGCAGAAGGAAAAAATGCATTTAGAAACATTTGTGCTACTGGATACCTATAACACCGTATTGACGACAACTTGTTCACTTTTAAAGGTCGCACTCGTTCATTGTGCAATGGTAAAAGGCTAAAAGCAACCTTTATGGTATTTTGCTTTCTATATCACTCGCAAAAAACAAATGTTTGTCATGTTTAACGAGAGCACTTAATTTATATTCATCAACAGTTTTAACCTTTTCCAGTGGAATAATGGAAAGTAAATTTACATTCATTGATGTAGAATATACCACAAAAAAGGCTGTTTATATGACAGTCCATTCATTGCAAAGAGAATTTCCCCTAACATAAGATCAGACAAATTGTACCTGTAAGTGATGTTGTGGTTCGTTGAAATACATGTAAAATACACAGGGCACTATGACCAACTCAGCCTGGCAATTATTTACCAAGATAAACCGTCTATGTGTATAATGAGCTGGGACGACAATCATTGACTTATTATTGGGAAGGCTCAAATATTTCATGCATATGTTTGGTCAATGAATGTCATATAAAGATTCATAGGGGTTTTTACTGCAAAAATCCCAGATAAACTCTCGACTAACTTTCGACCATCAATGCTATATGGACAGTATCTTTGTAGACACTAAGCGTCTGCTAGGAGTCCATAAATCATCAATAAGTATTTATGTTTCAAAATTGGACATTACGTCCGCAAAACTTCCGCATGCTGTGTATATCCCTAATAGTTTTTTCTGAAACGCTTTTCCGGATATCTTATCACGTAAGCCGTTATTCCGGGAAAATAACTGCGCATATCTCCATAAATGTGTGCGGGATACATACATAAAAGTGAAGCCATCAAGATGATGTACGCGACAAGCACAAATGTTACGCTACAATCATTTCGGGCGAATGTGTACTTATCTGATGCTTATACCGCGCTGTACTATTGTAAGGACTACATCATCATAATTATATATCCGGACCAGAGAAAGTATCGCCATAACTTTACCAAACACTGGGTATCATGAAAGTCAAGCGAAATGCTAGCCTGTCATAACAAACAGTGTATACGCCAAATCATAAAGGGAATGCATCCCGAAGTAGAATGAATATGAATTGCACTTTATAAATAGGCCTCTTTAAATCAAAATCTGTGTAAATTTTACATTCAAAGTATCATTTTCAATGATAAACAGTTACATATTTTTTGAAGATAGTAAAAACAATATAAATACATGTACAGATATGGATTTGTTAAGTACATGCTTTTCATTTCAGATGCAAATAATAGGATACAATGGAGATTTATATGAAAATATGTCTCGTGCAGAAAATTCATCGAACGGAGTTGTCATCATTTCGACATTTTTAGAGGTAAGTATACCATTTTACTTGTACACCATTGGCTGAGCAGGGACATTAAGCACCTGTTGTCTGTGCTGGATGCCTTCGTCATGGTGTTTCAATGAGATAACACTATAAAGTCGGCATCAGATCCGCGCTATCACAAGAAGACAAGTGCATCAACATATCCTGCACATATCCACGCATAAACAACACACATAAGAAAGTAGGGCTTAAGATCAATTTTAGTTACTTCAATTTGCTTTAAGCAAAGACACAAAATACTCCATGAATATGCATGGAACCCCATATCAGTTACCCTTTGCGCTTACATGCAATGGGTTACAGCAGGCGGATTCTTTCCCATGAACCTGAACCTAATAGGCAAGGTACGCAAACAATTTGACGAGTTATTTGCATGATAATAAAATAATTACAAAAACCTCTCTTTCTGTCCCTTTGCAACAAACATTAATGATATTTCGCTGAAAAGTCAAAATAGTAAGTGTTGTGTTTTAAACAAAGTTAGGTAGTCCTCCAGGAAATACGACATCTTCACTTGCATGACAATCCTGCAGGTTGGTGGATAAAATACAACTGCCGTATCGTACGGAAGACAAGGCTTAGCTGCAGGTTGCTTCATTATTTGACAACTAGATAATGCACCCGTATATTTATGTCGCTTTTGAAACAAGACTATTTATCAGTTCAGAATATAAATGTTGTAAACGGTTAAATATTAATGTATAAAAGATGCTGGCTGGTGTAAGTTTTGCAATCAGTGTATCACTAATTAAGCTATGAGTTATAACATCCTGTTTAATCTAATTAGTGTATATGTGCATAATAATTGCAAAAGCAACTTTCTTTTTAAACTGTCAAATAATCTGCGAGGAATGTTAACAAAGGTAGCAATGATGTATTGCCAGCACCGTTTTTGTTATTATTGTTTTCAATCTGACGTCACATTAATATCATTCTCTGAACATTAATTATAATTAAATATAAATATATGGGGGCTTGAGCGAGTTCTTATTGGCGTTAAGGTGGCTATGTGAACGTTTCATCCGATGCGTTATAGTCTATTGCTCATATGAAGAAATTATATATGCTTCGTGTTAAAATATGTCCTCTTGAATATAAAAAATATAGGCAATTTTGGAAAGTTGCAAGCATTTGCTTCCATGGTTAATATGTGGTTATGAATCAAGATTTGACAAAAGTAAGACGTTAAAAGTTCGGAACCCCTCTTAGCTTATCTAATTTTATTGGATATATTTTGGTTGCACTTGCTTCCATGTTTGGTATATTTTCAACTACTTTTGATTTATGCAACTTCTTTGTATTTATGTGTTTTTTAAAGTAACCATAAGATTTGATAGAAGCCACATGGTGGCTTATTCAGTAATATAAATACAAATGTCACCCTTTGAGTGGCTTTTCTTGTTGTGGTTGTTCTTGTTATAATTGGAGAGGCATACAAATCGCTTCAACTTCTAACTACCTAGTTTAATTTGGTGTTAAGGTTTTAACGGCCTTTCAACAGATAAAATCTTTTAAAAGCTAGGTTCCCCTATGTTAATGTATGCATGTGAGGTTGAGGTGGTATGTTCTTTTACTTTGCCTCCTCGCGATAGCGTTGAGCGAATGCCAATTTAAGGCTTTTACCTCACTTAATTTACCTGCGAACGCTCCCAGTACAGTACTTTAACCAGTCATAATAAACTGACAACAGGCGAGGCAGTCACTGTGCCTACCCCTAGTGCTGAACGGTAAAGAGATAATGATAACTTCCATTTTAAAAGGACATCGATATGTCCCGGCCTGGGAAGAAAATCCATTGTCTTCTTCACATGGAATTTTCAGCGTTATTGTCAAAAGTGATGTGAAGTCAAAACAGAGGTTACGACGCATTTAAGATCAAGAAAATAGTTAAAATAATACTTTAAGATCCTTGCTGTCGCCATTGGGTGCATCATACACATAATTGTCACCGATCTGCCATTAAATACACTGTACTTACCTGAACTATTGACCTTTATTCTGATACTGTTCTTTAAAAATAATTATTGCTTCCAATGACAAGAATTTGTTTTCTAAACATGTAGAGTCAAAAAATGTATGTCCTCTGTGTTTTCCTTTTTATTTGCAATTTTACATCCTGTTAATACATTAAACATAATAAGGCACATCCCGAAATGACTTTATCCGCACATACAAATCCAATCATACCAATCCAAGCAACCCTCTCCAAATGTTGCAAACCAATGTTTTCATTGAGATTCCAAATCGATTCCGATATGATATATTAAATATAGTAATGTCATATATGCTATCAATTGGGAAGGTTGTTTCAAATTGCAAACGTTTCAAAGATGTATATTAACTCGTTAATTAATCACAATACATGCCATATATTGAATTATTTTAAATCTTTCAAGAGTTCAAAATATGCAAAAATAATGGAGTTTCGTACATGTCTTGCTTTTGTTCGGGTCCAGATTGATGTCTGTCTTTTTGTTCTCTTGTCTGGTTTCGGACAAACTTATAGCAAAGAAAATGGGTTGCATACTTAATCATTTTTAATTGTTACTTTACATCATTTTTTCGTCCTCGACGTCCTTTATTCCATCATTTGTTCTGCTGGTGTTTTGGGGAATCAAATTGAGCATTAATATGATATGCTTTTATCAGAAAATATGCTATAATATTGAACAAATGTAGATACTAATGTTATATCACATATTTATATTTGACGTCGACGTTTATACATGTTTCTCAGAGGAGTACAAGTCCACTCGTTATGCGATAACCGATGATAAGGGCATAACATAGATATATCAAAAAAAAATCCTATATTCTTTAAGGATGAGTTCTAACAGATGAATCATAGAACTATACGTGTAGTACGAGATGTTACTAACGAACCAGAAATATGCATGTACATTACATGGACGCTTAGGTAATTAGTAAAGTTCAAAATGATTTAAAAGTGATTTTTCATTTCTAGTGGGAATGTGTAGTTGTTTTTTCGCTTTGTCACACGTTACTAATTGGTGGCAATTTAAACCATTTGAAAATAGATTTATAAGGCCAGACTGTCTGTAGCCGAACTGGCTGAATTCTGCACGCATCGTCTGTGTCAAAGTGTCCGCTCAATTAGTTTTGTGCTTTGTGATGAAGTCTCGTATAGTTGTAAAACTAGCTTATCAAAAATGAAACAAAATTATCTTATTAGACAATTAGGCTTAATAAGCAAACATACATGTAGGAAAAACGGTCATCACGTGCACGTTTATTCCCTTAATTGGCCCGCGCGTGCATCCCGTCTTAACGCCAAACCGACACACCACGGAATCAAAAGAAAAGACTATTCCTTTGTGGGTCGGTCAAAACTGTTCGCATGCCTAATTGCTTTTCATTTGCAAACTCTAAAAGCACATCTAAAGACTGTCCCTTCACTGTGAATGACATTCCCTTTTATAGTGTTAACACACTTAGAGAAGAAACCGAGACTGATGTTTTCATGAGCAGTATGTTCAAATTATGTTAACGAAGACCCAACGGGAAGCAAGAAAACGGAATCAGAGGCAAGGTCGTTCGGTGGCATTCGGTAAATCAAGCTATTACCATCAGACCTATTTATCAATACCGCGTTGTTTGTGTCAAATATGATTGCGCTTGACAAGTGACATCTCTTAATGTAGTAAAATAAAACATCTTTTTCGGAGTTTGAAATCCCTAAACACTGGAGCTTAGCGTTGCACCTCGTAAACTTAACACAAAATGTACATGCTGACTTAGTTTTTACCCGTGGCTCTGTTTTAGAAATCTTGATGAAAACCCTAAAGATTTCGCTTGAACTTTTTTCTGATTATTTGTATAAGCTTCCTTCCTAAAACTATCGGAATTACATGTACACACAATGGTAATAGGGATATTTCACTTCCGTTCGTACCGGGTTCTTGTGTTTGTCGTGTAAATAAACATCAAGTTTCTCCTCGAATTTTATGGTTTCCGCCACGCAAACTTGATTTTGTATGTTTACTGTCAATTCTGTTTCCGTAGCAGAAACCTGAGCGGTTATTAATGGCACTGCGGATTTGCTTTTTGGTAACAGACTTACTTAGATAGTAAGGCCTTAGGTACTTAAATTGAGTGGATTGATCAATTTCTCAAACGTGCTTACTTTTTGTTTCTGCTTCTGTTGCATTTTTTCTGTACTTGAAGTATGCAACAAGTGCGCAATACAACCCCTGCGAATCGATTCCTTTTGATAGAGAGTCAGAATCGTTAATTATACAAATTTAAAAAGCATCTCTGAGATGCTTTCAATATTTGTATTATAACTCATGATGGACGGGGTTGTGCTTGTGACATGTTTGCGATTACAATTGTATATGTACTCTTTACCTCTTTGCTCTTGGACAATCCTATTTTTAGTAAAAGGGATATTGACCATTACATGTAACAAACCACACATAAGATTAATAGCATTCGTCTTCTCCTCTGGGACAATCTACATACATAGGAAGACCAGAACGTCAAAATCAACACAATTCTTTCTCTTACCTAGGTCGACCCATTAATCAATTCTGAGCTTTGTTCGATTAACTGAAATACCGAAAATGAAAATCGTTTTAATAAATGTGATTGATTGACCATTGATGAACAATTTGATAAGATCAGGTTCTTCATCTTCGATTTGGCAATCCACACACCAAGTTTGAGATTTGCGAAATCATTTGCTGTTAAGTTAACAACCGAATAAGAAATATATACATATGGATAGACAGTGGAAGATCAACAGAGACCCAACCTGAAATATAATCGCTGTTTGTAGATAATCACTGGGTTTACAAAGACGTATGTTTGTTTCTTTATCAACATAATATAAAGGTTTTATTAAATTTATGTCAGTGAGATATCGAGCTCTATTAGCCTGAAAAAAATGAAACCTTTCCCACTGACAAATATCATAAATACTCTTTGTCACAGTTTCAAAATATCACTTTTGGAATTAACCAATCATAACAGCACTTCCTATTCACTTTATTCAAATCGCAGGATTTATCTGTTTACATACCGGCGACGGTAGTATGCGTGGATGATTTCGTTTATCTTTGATGCACATTAAGGTATCAATATTCTTACACAATTTAACAAGCAAATGTTACAACATGATAGTAAAAAAAGGTAAAATTGTGTTGATTGCCCATTCAAAATGGCGCTCTGGCTTGTTGTCAAACGTGACGTCATTGAAATTTATATTAAATCCACAATTATTTTGAAGCAGTTACATGTTTACATTTTCGTTTTGTAAGTTATTGTTAGCACTCGAGAAATATATATAATAGTATTCAATGTGAAACTTCATATATAAATATGTTTAATGTGTTATTATATCAATAACTTCCATCTTTAGATATATTTAATGTGTCGTTATATATATGTGATGCAGAAAAAAAAAACGATTGACGTGTCAACACAATGACTTAAACACGTACTAATAGAGACATATTTTCACATGATACCGTTGTTTCCTTACAGTAAAGTCTGTTTATATCTTATGTATAAAATTGGTTTACCTTACATTTATTCGTTCTTGTTTTGAATGTTTATTAGATATTCCGTGTCAGAGGACAAAGTTATGACGTTATAATAGGCGCCTTTATGGCAAGCACGCATTACTGCTCCTACTTTTACACATGTAAATGATCTATCTTAAATGGTGGTTTATCGTTTATTTTGCAGATACAGCCTGAAGGATTGGAGCCTAATCGAGCCTTAAAAATATTTACAAGCAACCTAGAAGCTATAAGTGAACGAAGTAGGTATATAACCAGTCATGGGTCACATGTGCCTTAATATCGTTACATTGGAAAATGTAACTAGTTATTAATTTATAAACCTTTGATTTCTTGCATACAGGCCCCATCCCCTGATCTTTTATTCATGCAGTGAATTGTCCCTGCATTTTTTTTTTCTTTCGTCACTTATTAACAAGCATACTACTGGGCCGATTTAAGTTTAAGAAGATTCGAGGCAAATCTTATGATGTACATATTGCTCTCTGTAAATATTTGGTCATAACGTTTTCAATTTGTACTTGAACTTGGTCTATACCATAGAATTTGAAATTTTAATAAACTAAAAAAAATACCTGAAAACTTGGCCGATAACCCTTAAGCGTTCAGTTTCTTTGTATGTATTTAGTTGTGTAGCTGTCCCTTATTATTGTGGTAAGTTNGGGGGGAGGGGCGCTTGCAACTAACAACATATCTCCCCGAGTATAATTTCGAAAAAAACACCTCACCCTCCCGCGAGGTTCGTCTCTGTAATCGCCACTGTAATATGAATATCAACTACATTACAGGTGAAATTGTATCAATCACGATCTACCTCATGATTCCTGAACTTCTATTCTCCAGAGGTACAGCAAAGCATGTATATGACCTAGATAACAGGAACAATAGCTACGATAACACAATGAATATATACGTAAGCTGTTAGTTTGTTATAGGTTAAGTGCGTTTGAGGTTCGTAAGATAATTTCTTGGCGGAATAACGAATAGGCCGTTGCTATGACTAGAAATATGTGATGCACGTGTTTATATTAGCCAAGTGTGATTTACCGATTTATATTCCGTCTTTGCGTATTGCAGAGTTATCTTCTCTTGTGAGCGGGTATTGATTGTTACGTCATTGGTTTGTGAGAGTAACGTTATCAATTTTTGAGAAAACGACGTAATTTTCTCACACAAAATATTATGGAATGAAAAACAAAACGGAGCCCTCGTATGGAATAAAGAACATTGTCAATATAAATTGCTCATCAAATTAATTAGGAATATGTTTAATTTTACAATGCGTGTTATACAGTATTACAGTGACCGTTAGACAATCAAGAATGTGTTTAGCGTCCATGTAACAGAATAGGTAAATAAAATGTTTGTGATTGACCGGAGTTTTACCTGACCCGTATGCCTTACACATAGAACTGATATGTGATATCGTATGACCGTTATGAAAGCACAACTGAACGTTAAGTATTTGTTATTTGCATTCGTTTTGGTCTATAGCACCCCTTCACCTGGATTTACACACGATGGCGAGTTCCGGAAGTGCCCTGGGTGTGAAAAACTGCGGTCCAAGTACAGATACAAAGTGGTTATGTTTACCTATTTACGTGACCGTGTCAATACATGTATGTGCTATTTTACATGTGTCGGTTAAGGTCCCTTAAAAAACATCAAAAACACCATTTCTGAAAATATAGATAGAAAGATCAGCTGATATATGTAGCTAGAATATAGAAATATACTTAAATGTTTAAACACGAGGCCGTATTCATTGTTAAGCCATTTCTCAATTTACACCAATCACGATTATTAACGCACAACGTTCGTCTATCGTCCGCACAAATGTGCGCACACAATTTTTGTCCAGATTTCAATCGTTCGCACATTGTGCATACATCGTGCACACTCCGTGCACACATCGCGCGCACACCGCACATCGTGTAACATTGTGCGTTCCCACAACTGTAGTTACTTCCTGACGTCGTTTTTCTAGGGATCATTTTATTTTTCATCGGATATCCTCCACCTCATCCCTTGGATCCGTCTAATGCAATAACCTTTTTAGTAAAACACCAGGTACAAACATATATGATATGCCTTATGTCACGTAAAATAAAAACAGAACAAACAAATTTCAAGGAGGCAAGTACGCCAACATACCATGTCTCCAGCAACATACATACATGCACGCATCAATAACATTCACGGAGGCACGTCCCTAAAAGACCTAAGCTGTTAATAAGACAACATAAAACAAAACAAAACAAAACAGGTTTTAAGAAGACCCTGATTAATACGAAAATAAATAGAATTATATCCCCTACTTAAAAACGTAAAAAGGGGATTTATGACATGATTAAACTGACTGAATTTTACTGCAGATTTGACAGTACACATGTCAGTAGCCTGTTAAACAGATTTAACGGCTGGGTAGTTTTTTTTCACCATAAAGAGCTAAAAACTTGGTTGATGACGTAATGAAAGTTTGTGTGAGTTTTATAGCTGATATAATACTGTATACATAAAACTAACCTGTCGAACGGATTTTATTATATTTATAATAAAAAATAAGTTATCTATGGGAATAATAAAACAAAATTGAACACGTCATCCTGCAATTTCCCTGTATCCCATTTTGTTTGTCATTTAAACTGTAAGGTTTTATATCCTATTCGCAAAAATTCCCTTTAACAACAATCCACGCCCTGTATTATTTAGGGTTCCTGGTGGTATCATATATAAATAGATTTCGTGCGTTTAGCCTTCTTTCATGCACAATGCCAGAACGGCATATAAAAGACAATATAAAAAAATATATCCAAAATACAAGTGACAATGAAAAGACCGACTGATCACCTGAGCTTACAGCCGTACTGACGACCGTACATTACTCATATCAAGGTGACGACCTTCATGTCAAATATGCCAATAATCTTGCTTGTAGCATATATAACACTTAATGAGTCCTTGAGTATAATAATATTCAACACCACTTCTCAAAAAGCATATATAGGTTTATCCTTCTCGTTATTTTATCATTAAAGTTTTCGGTTTTTTTCAAAATTCTTCTTACGAATTCCATCAACTACAATGAAACGCCTGACACTATTCGGGGACCCTTCTGGTGCCAGTACTGGGTGTAAATAGCGTCTTGTTAAGAAGACGTAGGGACTGATGCTCGCAAAACCGCCATTTTCGAAGAAAACAGATCTTCAGCCTGTGGGGATTTCTGACTTTATACGCGCCGAGACGAGCTGACTATTCCAATAAACGGCTTACCATAGCAACAAAAACTTTGTCTAAATTGGATGGTTGGGAGTAACAATCGGAAGAAGGAGACGATTGTAACAGCAATGGCGAAGTCAAATCTGCATTCCTGTTTCTGTCTCTCGATACGATCAATAGCAAGTTTTTTTCTAAATGTTTGTTTGGAAGGCAAACGAGGCAATTACAAAATTTAGAAACAAGGTCACGCATGCGTAGTCAATATTCACTATATAGCAGGTTAATATTCTTCAAAACACGATATAGAGAATGAAACAATACCTAAGTTCGTTAGGGATAAGACAATATCTTTAACAATACCCTGGGTCGTGACAGGTACTTGTCACTTTTGGTTATCAAACAGATACTCACTGCTGGTGCTAAGATAGATTTATAATTGTTTTGATTATTCAAATCCTCAATAACTTATGTGATATATAGGGCTATTGTAACAAAGAAGTTCCGAGAACAGAAAAGCAGCCATTCAATAACTCCCCTGTAAAACAAGAACAGCACAGAGGTTGATGAGTCATCTGATTCTTCGGAAGAAGATTGGTTGATTTCGATTTGAGTATTATTTCGTTGTTTTGAATTTATCTTTTTGATGTGTCCTCGTCATATCTATCACATCGCATCAGTATCATTTACTATGTGTAAATTTGGTCGGACAACGAGGGACATGGGTAGTATATTCATTAATGTTAATGTACATTGTACTAGGGAAGTTACAACGCTATCAGATAATTCCTTGACACGTTTGATTTGTTTGTGCTTTACGTCCTACTAATAACTGTGGTCATTTAAGGACGTGCCAGTTTTTGGTGGTTGAGGAAAACTGGTGTATCCATTTAAAAAAACAATGACCTGCGACCACCAGGTCCTTGCGATTGCCAAATATTGGTCTCGAATTACGACCGTTTGGTGGATGACTAGTAATCGTACATGGTCGGACACCTTTATGAATCATCAACCAAACATATCACAGCAATCTAAACAATTAGTATATACGTAAAATTCGAATTTGAGCATCAATCTTAAGCGAAGTACTTTGGAAGAATGAATACCAGGAAAACCAATAACGTAATCAAATGATACATGCATGAAGGCACATCCTTAATTGACACGAGCTGTTTAAAAGACGCTAAACCTGATGACATATAACATTTAACTTCGCCAGTCAATCAGATAGCAGTTCAGTCTTTATAAATGAGTACATAACTTGAAATATTGGCTTATATAGAGAACCTTTTATCGTAATCTATTAGTTTCTTAAAAAAAAAAAAATGGCTGGAATCGTATGCCTACGAAACCTAAGGTGACGCCTGGCAGTTTTAAATCAACTCAAAGTTGACCCTTTAGTTGACACAAGGGTACTTGCATAAAGTTTCTTTACAACTCAAGCTCTCCATATTGATTCATTAAAGGGAATTATTTGTGCTTACAACGATGCCGGCGGAGTGATATGGCGTCATTGCTTAACAGTCACATAAAATCGACTTTCCTGTACAAAAAGACACAAGAAGAATAGTAGAGTAACAGCTGAAAATTGCACTCGATCATTTGAATATCACGTTAATGTATTCAAATGTTATTCAAATTGAAAAGGTAACCAAACATATGATAAATAGCTATCACATTCTGAATATTTTGTTTGAATACGCCACTCTAAGCATACGAAGGTCAATGGTTCCTCTAACAATTTAAGCTTATTGTAATCTTAGATCTCATTTAATGATACATTGATACATTTTTTTAAGTTGGCGATATAAAGCATCTTTTTTGTTGATGGCAAAAGTATATTTACACAACTAGAACCTTATATTTTTGCTGAAAACATGTATTTCCCCCACTTTCTCATTTACTTTACCTCTAGACTGTTCTCTGAATCCGCCACTACACATATCGTTGTTTTCATAACACACGACCTGCTAATCGGCTTGAATTCAGACAGTTACAGATATATCATACCGCCATTATAAGTTCAACTCTCCTCTCGGATTTCTATTGCAATGTAACCCTCAAACGATGCTATATTTCATTAATCAGTGCTATTTTGTTCTATATACATGTATAATGTTTAAGAAAAAAAAGGTTTTGTTAACGAGGTGTAGTCTTCTCTCGATGACAATGGCGGTGTTACAGGAAGTAGAAGCAAGATAAATCTGTTGAGTAGAAATTTTTGTTTTACTTCGCTAGAAATTATATCTAAGCATATACGAGACGTGATTGTAATGAGGGATGGTCTGTGAAAATTCTCATTTTTTTCCAATCGTTTAAAGTCAAATCTCAGAGGAAATACAACGGAAGACAACCCACTCAGTCTATAAACAACTGCAAGTGAGGACAAAAATATGTCGTTTTGGGACTGGCTACAAAAATAAATCATATACGTATCGATTTTGCCACAGGACTATACGTTCAACTAAAAATGAAATTAATTTAAAATCCATTAGATAAAGCCGTACATGATGCATGCATTATACATGGATAACAAGTATTTTCCTTCAGAAAATAAATTAGAAAGAAAATAGGGCACAGAGACCTGCTGTATTTCCACAGACCAAGCCTTTCCGGGAAGGATGCATAGCGTTTGAATAGTTTCAGACTATGAAAATTGAATAAGAGCGATTTCATCAACAATGAAAACAAAACTAAGCTGATCATAAACCAACCTTGCAAAGCGTATTACGTTTAAAGAATAAAGAGCTTCGATAAGTAACTGAAGTCTTGAGATGGTAATTTTGATTTAAGACCCTTCACTCATTAAGCCGTCTTCATGCTGAAATTTTCCGATTGATCATGGAATCTTATTTTGAGCGTGATATTATTTTTAAACAGGCCGTTTACATCCTATTTTCGAGACAATTTGATTTGTAGTTTTGAAAGTAATAGCTAAATGAAAAAAGCAAACTAGCACGGGAATATATATTTTCCCTATTGCTTTTCAAACGACTTATTGTGCTTTAGACGACTTTTACTAGACGATCTGAACTCACAATATAAGCAACCGAAATTGTACGTGCCTTAGTGATCTGAAACAGATCCTTGATATATAAATTTCAAACATATGTACAAAACATCATAGAACTTTCTGAACATGTCCCCCTGACAACCTTTGTTAAATATATACAGGAAATTGGCCTCTATAACTAACTATTAATACTACATGTTTACTATACAAATGTTGAGAATACGTTTCACCAGTCTTGGTCTTGTCTAAAGTCTTTTTAAGTGTTTTTTTGCCGAATTAGGACCGACATGACATTCTTTTGTCAAGGTTGGCTTTAAGTCTGAACAAACGAACACATTAACCATAAAAAAAGTCGAACCTGAGGCATAAACCTGTGTCCTTACCTATATAAATTTACCTAGAACTCTTGATACATATTCGTGTACTTTCGCTGTTTTCCAGATTCCAATGTCCAGATTAACGCTTTTTCTATAGCGGAGCTTCTTCCACATACAGACCACTACATCACGTACGATGGATCTATGACCCAGCCCAGCTGTCAGGAAACTGTCACCTGGATCATCTTTAATAAACCAACATATATATCATCGTCACAGGTAAACATATTTTATAATTTATAGCAGAAATTCACCACTCGCTGCTTATGAAATGAAATTGGTGCAGCAGACATGTTTGTATAGTTCGTACCAAAACCAAGTAAGCGGCGTCTGTTACGAGTTAAAATCGTACAGCAGGACCCTTTTACTCCGTATAATATATATTCTCGGATCCAAAACACGAGTCATTTTCCACTATGTACAACGGGTACAGTTTGCCTATTTCAATCTTTATATATACTACGATGCATATAAAGCTTGAAGTACATGTCTAATGGTATGGCGTGTTATATACTCACCAGAACGTCTATACGTTGTAGATACTATATGCTGAGATACTAAGTGAACAAATAGTAGGTTCGAACAACGTATAATGTAGATTATATATATATATATCGGTCCCAAGTATGTATAACTTATGAAGACTTGCAATCGGTGTATCAAGCATTATGTGTTTCATTCTGCACCCATGCAGGTTCAATGAAAAGTTGCAAGAGGCGACCAATGTTTGACATTCTGCAGAATCTGGGGATTTTCGCTGTAAGAACATTGATATGCTGTCTAGTTGCACCACTTAATCATTTTCTATTCCGGCTTCTCTGCTTTTTTTTATGTTCTTATTCTTCCAGTACTCCGTCATTGCGTATTGCAGAGTTAACTTCTCTTGTGAGAAGGTATTGATTGTTACGTCATTGGTTTGTGTTCGAAAATAACGTCGTTTTCTCAAAAACTGATGACGTTACTCTCACAAACAAATGACGTAACAATCAATACCTGCTCACAAGAGAAGATAACTCGTTATTTGTATTTTGTTTCTAGTTGAGGGAATTAAGAAACGTACGGATGGATTGGCCCTGGAAAAACGTGAGGCCGGCGATGCCTCTCAATCATCGAGTAGTTCGTACCAATATTAACTCACGGAAACAAGTAAGTGTACGATAACACGTTCTTGTTTATTGTAAGTATGTACAATCAATCTATCCTAGTATGGGCGAATGCTTATTATAGTCTGTTTCAATCCTATTCAAATCTCGTACAGCTATTACATGTTCTATAACATAAAGCTCCTGGTTTAGTAATTTATTTAATATTGTACAGTAACACCGTTTGTAGGTTTGTAATATGACGTGAGACCCCCCTAGTTAGAAAGTATTACGATGCGGTGTCAATGTTGTCTGTAAATTCTAAAACACAAAATCATCTTCGATGCTTTTAGATTATGTTTAAATGAAAACAAAATAACTTGTACACGGTCATCAGTGTAATAATGTGTTCCACTATAAATTAAAAGGAAATGGTCTTTCTAGATAAGCATATGGGCTGTATTTACTGGTAGTAGTAATACAAAGTTAGGTGGATTTTGCCTTTTTCTGTATTGACTGGTAGTAGTAATACAAAGTTAGGTGGAGTTTGCCTTTTTCTGTATTAACTGTTAGTAGTAATACACAGTTAGGTAGATTTTACCTATTTCTATATTGACTGATAGTAGTAATACAAAGTTAGGTGGAGTTAACCTTTTTCTGTATTGACTGGTAGTAGTATACAAAGTTAGGTGGATTTTGCATTTTTCTGTATTGACTGGTAGTAGTAATACAAAGTTAGGTGGATTTTGCCTATTTCTGTATTAACTGTTAGTAGTAATACACAGTTAGGTAGATTTTACCTATTTCTGTATTGACTGGTAGTAGAAATATAAAGTTAGGTGGATTTTACCTTTTTCTGTATTGACTGGTTGTAGTAATACAAAGTTAGGTGAATATTACCTATTTCTGTATTGACTGGTAGTAGTAATACAAAGTTAGATGAATTTTACCTATTTCTGTATTGACTGGTAGTAGTAATACAAAGTTAAGTGAATATTACCTATTTCTTTCACACCTATTTCTGTATTGACTGGTAGTAGTAATACAAAGTTAGGTGAATTTTACCTATTTCTGTATTGACTGGTAGTAGTAATACAAACTTAGGTGAGTATTACCTATTTCTGTATTGACTGGTAGTAGTAATACAAACTTAGGTGAATATTACCTATTTCTGTATTGACTGGTAGTAATTGTACATGGGTACATTGTAGATATTTTTGTCAATTTCTGTATTGACTAGTATTTTACTATACAGAGCAGGGCGATTTTTTTATATTTCAGTATAATACATAAAGTAACTTTATAGATATTTTTAAAATGTTTCTCTTTTAAAGAAATGACTGCTCTAAGTGAGATTTGTCTGTTTTAACTATATAATAATTACACAGCGGCTGGTTAGTTCTGTACCTTTCAGTATTGACTAGATTGTATAATTATGTTGTTTTTTGTCTGTTTCCGACTTGACTGGTAGTAGTTAGATCAAAGCGGGTTTTGTGTATTTCAGTGTTAACTGCTTTTAAACAGTCAACACAGGTTTTCTAGTGCTCTTTCTCTTTGTATTTGCTGGTATTCATTATACACTAATGTGGGTTTTGTCTGTATCTGTTTTGACTAATTGTAATTTTAAAGAGCTAGGCATGTTATTTACATTTATGTATTGAATAGAATATATTAATATCTTTTTAATATTTGCTCTGCTTTATTTTTCAGTCCAGATTATGTAGCATGAAAAGAGATATATTTTACGACAGTGAGTATTCTGTTTCGTTTCCTATCAGTAGTTGAAATGAATGAAAACTTACATTGAATTGAACCCTGTCCCTTTGCTAACGTTTGCGTCATTGACGTGTAAATTTTTATGAGAAAAACAAAACAAACGCAAAGCTTGCTTTCATATTCCAACCGTTACATACATATCTTACATGCATTAAAATTGTGTAGAGATTCAATTATGTACAGTGTAATTGAAATAAGATAGCATTCTTACGTTATAAGAATTTAATCGATACCATTCAATAATTTAAGCTTTCCCTTCTGACTTTCAGTAAACTCAAATTTTAGAACTTGAAGCAGTACTTAAGTCTACAGGAATATTCCTCTACAACCAAAGATACACTATGCAAAAGTGTTACAACTGCTTCCGGCGGAAGTCGTTAACTGAGATAGGATTATAGTACCGTATAGAATGTCGCGATATAAAGTGTGAAAGTCCGTAAGTCCTCTCTATCACCTTGGGATTATCGCGAAATGATTCCGTCAGATTCAATTATGGAGAGTATAGCTGCTAACGTTCGCATAGTGCATATCATATAAACATTCGTTCTTCAGGAAACAAACCAAAACCGTGCATCTGTGTCTGGCTTTCTGTGTGCATACCGTGTGTTACAGGACGGTTTTATTAAATAGAGACATAAAGAGATTTTCCAGAAAGTCCAAACGAAGATGTACAAATGCATGATTAGCCGAAAAGATATTAGGAAACGGATGATCACCAACACAGGAACTGGCAGTACAGCTTAAATAATATATACGCTAAAAAAACGGCACATACCTTGCTGCCTACACGTGACTACAAAATGCCTGAGAAAGACGGTTTATTAACAACAAAATCTAGTGACATCGCATCTCCCCGGGCTTTCTGCACTGTGTTATATAATTGGATTGTATCTTTAAGGACATGAAAAGACAATCAATTCTTCGGAAACGAAGCTACAGTCTACATGAAAAGACAATTGAGGTGCACTTTTCACGTTTCTTTACACTCCAGATGAGGCAGCGTAAAGGTAAATGTGTCGCACATGTCGTCTGCAGCCTGTCATCTCCATTCACGTGACAATCACGTGAAACTCATCCGAATCTACGCTGATGTGTTTTGACGTATGTTGACATTAGAATTGGTAGCTCGCCAAGTGCTTTTGGCGACATATATTTTTGAACTAGATCCATCTTATTGTGTTGTACCCCAAATGATATACAGCAGACAGTCACAGGCTTTTCCATTACACGTCGTGCATAAAGTATTTTCATAACCAACTGTTCTGTCTGCTGAATTTCTGGCACTTGTTTTTGCTGGATAAAAACATCTTGTCGTGGTTCTGCAAAAAAATATCAATTAATTTGAATTATAGCAAAAACTACAATATCTTGTTTTAAACACTTTTCGAGAAAGCCCGAACGACATTTATTGTGTCAACCTCATTTCATTAGATGTCATTTCTTGACACAGACAGTGCAAGTTATTGTATCCATTCAGATATATTGACTTGCATTGTCGCTCTCTAGGGACCGTTCTAGACATTTATGTTTCTGGCTTGAAGAATAGAGTTCATGAAATTCCATAACCGTAAAGATCAATCACCCCCAATAGACCGCGAGGTAAAAGCACAAGACAATGGGGAACCTCTATTGTCCGCAAACCTATAGTTTTGATGAAAAGTCTGGTTAAACGTTATCCAGATTAAAAAAAATGGTTAAATTGATGAATCAGTTCAAGATTATAAGGTGATATATCAAGGGATTAAAATGCAATGACACTTCAATCTGACAAGAACGACAATGGGTATCGTGTGACGTCATAATTGGCAATCAGGAAGGCGTGTTCAGGTTATGGTAGTCGACATGGGATCAGAATGAAAAATAATTTCCACTTTTCCAGGAAAACTTCGATAAAAGAACATTTTCGGATATGTTTTCGACTTTTTTTATATTCAGTTCCTGGTAAAGTTAGAGAAACTATATATAATTAATGTTCTCTACTGTATATGTAATGTAGTAAAGTGGTCAAAATTGTCTTAAAGGCAATACATTTGTCAACAAGAAATATCTTCTAGGAATGACTGCCACACTTTTTAATAAAACACATACTCAACGCAGGGGCATGCGTGTATGATATATTACAACAACAAAAGACACAATTTAATGATCTTACATTATAAATTATTATGAAATCATGATCGCAATAGGAAAGTAAAACAGTATTGTCCCGAATCAGTAACGTCAAATACCCCTTTTCCGGTGATATTTTCAAAACTGTAAGTGATTATTTATCTTTCAAAACCTGACATTGGGGTTCAGTTCCATGTCATAATGATGATATAATAGTTCACAATAAAAGCCATTCAATTTAGTATCAAGTCGTAAGCAGATGACGTCAAATGATACACATTGTGTCTTTGCTGGAGAGGATAGTATGCGTTTTTTTCGGCAAGCAGTATGTCTGTTTAGTACAATTCTGATATTGGTTAAAATATGTTGCATGTGATTAGACAGCATTGAGAAATCTAACTCTGGCGGTTACGTATTTACATTTTCCTTCATACCTTCTTAACTGCCATTTAATGGTCACAAAAACTCTTTATTTTCCTTGCTGAGACACCTGTTACCGGGAAATTTTCGCTGCAGTTTGAATTTCGCCTTCATCGCCAACCGCTATGAGGGCGAACTATCATATCAGCGAATATAAGTAAACAACACAATAAACATAGTATCAAGTCTGACGGGCGAAATAAATACTGGGGGAAAAATTGATTTAATAGGCAAAGGGCAAAAGTTTGAATGAGGAAAAGTTTCCCGGTTTTCAGTATATCATAAAGTTTGAACTATTGGATGCATTGATAATTCAGGTAACCGAATTATATAGCAATGGTTTGAGACTCAACATGCTTATAATCTTCAAACAGCAATTTTCGTTGAACTATTTTTCTGTCATATTTCCATTTCTGTCATGATTTGTTCGACTATTGGGGGGTAATATTTAATTGATAAATCGTGGATATATATTTGAAGTGTTTATCTTTCCATAATGATATAATGCATTGTTATTGGAGCCAATCAGACGCTACAAACAAATATCAAAGATATAATGAATGTAAAAACTGTCTTAGTATAATCCATGTTAGCTCCAGGGAGAAGAGTTTTAGCCTTGTGTCGACAGCTAGCATTGCTAATATACAACGTCAACGGCGTACATGTACTTGCAAAATGTTTTATAGTATGTTTTCTATGTAAAAATGAAATTTGAACATTTTTAACAGATGTGAAATGTATTTAATGACCATGCTTGCATAATCTGTGATATTGGCTGATATTTTACTGCTCAAATGCCTTGTTAATTACTGTCAAAGTTATGTCTGGTGTAAATGTGTTTTTTTAATGTCATATTTGTGCTTTGTGTATAGATTTACATATCGGTACTTATATGTATAAAGCCATAGGTTCCATAAAAGGGGTTTGAGGAAGGGAGATCACTCCGTGGCTCTGTCGTCGAGATATGGGTTATGTCACGGTAGGGAGGTAGGGATATTTGAATCTTTTGTTTTTGGGCTACAAAGATGGGTGTAGGTATTGTATATGCATACTAAAGTTATGGTAATTATTACTGAAATGAAAGTGCTTTGTGTATAGATTTACATATCGGTACTTATATGTATAAACCCATAGGATGATATATTCAGCAATGTAGAATTACCAGAAAGCACTTGTTTGAATACAGACAAAGCAAACCATACCAACATAACAGAACTTCTGTTTCATTATGGCTTTCATCTGATAGACATGTGAAAACGCTGGCTTGAACGGTATGTCTGATATCAAATTTAAAAAGTTTAAGTATTATGAAATAAATATCCACTACATGGTTACTTTAATGTAGTATAAGCATCACTAAAACTTTGCTTAAGCTTAATGACACATGACGACAAATTTTCCCGAAGAAACACCATTGCGTGGTAACATAAACTCGTGGATTACGAGTACCCACTCAAATGGAAAATTGCTTTAGGTCAAAATTGTAATTACTTCGTTGACCTATATGAATTCATAGATGAAGATTTCCCACGAAATCAGCGATATTAAAACTCCATGAATATCAGATTATTTTCCTAGCAGTGTTATTTTATTATTTTTCTGGTAAATGAACACACTAATCAACAATTAACAAATAATATAACATTCGCAAACAATAATAAATATTCGTCCACAGCAATGCCAAATAATATTGCGTGGAATCAATTTTTTACACGGTATATAAGTAATAATGTTTTATTTATACAGTCTGTTATACATTGAATTACGATCGAATAACACCATCACTAAAAATGAAAAAAAGTAAAATATCACCCATTATGACGTCGCAGGGAAATACGATGACGTCACAAATTACACAATTTGGTTGAATTAGTTATATAAATGCATAAAGCAGGCATTTCGCGAATGTCTGATTTTCGCTATCCTCACAGCATGAAAAACATGCATGGTTGGCATGGTAAATAAATGCAGTATGTACGCATTGCAAAAGAGAAGAAACATAAGCGTTCGATCAGGTATTGTATGCATCATGACATTAGAAACAATTCCAACGTCACTTCGTACTTGTGCATCTCCTCTAGAATTTTAAGCTGGAAATATGCCAGCTTAGCCTGAATGCTTAACTTTAAAAAAACAGTTTCTCAAATGTGTTAATAGTACAATGTATTAATTCAGTCGACATGATAGGACCATATTGGATTGTTGTTGTTTCAGTATGCAAGAATGTTTGATTAGCTGATTTGGAATGTCTAAATTAATTGGTTCGAAAATGGATATTAGGAAATGAACCTGATTGGTCCTGTATGTAATGGAACCATGTCAGTTTCTGTGATCGATGCGAGCTGAAAGTGAAAATAGCATGTGTGGTTTTACTACAGGCTCCTACCAATCTAGGATTAAAACTAATACCAATCATTGAAAATGACACAAATATATTGGAACCATCCCATGATGTATGGGATTCAGCAGCGTCATCATGCAATAAATCTGGTAATTTGATTCTTGGTTATTGTCTAAACAAGCGTAAATTACGTAATTTCAAAATCCTCTTTATCCGTATTCGTTATGTTTCATTTCATTTGAATGTAGGATATCAATCAAATAACAATTTATTTCTTGTTGTTTTATTGAATATGTAAAAGCTGATTGTTGATACCGGGTGTAATACGATGATAGTGGTATAAATTATTTTTATTGATCCCATGCATTACACAATGCATTAATATGTTGAGACCCGATACGGCCCCGGGTCTCTTAATAAAAGAATCAAAATAATCATGATATTTGTGTATTTAATATCTCGAAATCCTTGTAATTTAACTGTACAGTGGTATGGAATAGCAAACTTGCTTGATCAATGCAATTTGATGGGAGACGCTATCCGGAAAAGGCTTCAACGGGAAGTCTGATGTGACTGGCGAGAGTGAATTTGATGCGGACACAAGAGAATATTGATGTTTTCTCCAAACTACATGTAAGGACACCTCTAAAGCAATGCCTTGAGTCAAAAATAACGGTCACAGTGCATGGCATTTTAATAGCAAGAGGACATTATTATCAATATACACCACAAAATAAAATGCAACAATAACACCTCTTACTCAAAACTACACACAGAT